CTAGTAGTAAGGCCAGGAGCCCCTAGTAGAGTCCTTGCTCCTAGTAGCTTCTTGATCCTTAAAATTCCAAATTGAGAGCCCTTTCCCGATTTCTGCTGTCGACGCTTATTGTCGCCTCACAGGGTCGAATTTCCTCCCAAAGCTGTTTTATTGTAGCGATGGCCTCCATTGTTACTAGTAGTAATGGCCTCCACCCTAGTAGCGATGGCTTCCCCTTAATGTTATATGTTTAGAAGAGGGTGATAATTGACCGTCCCACACTGGCCACTCGAAATGGACTTTCTTCGACCGCGGCTGATCCACATGGATGTTATAGGACCCAGTAAGAAGAAAGAACGATCTTCCTCCTGAAGTATTCCAATCGCGCACCGCTTTAAATCCAAAAAAACAAGGGAGATTCGTTCCCAAATCAGTCTTCAGTGGTAAAAGAAGCGGGATATGCCTGCTTCTTGAACCTAACAAATAACGCAGTCAAAAAAAAACACGAGTCAAGTGTTGCAATGGCAGTACTGATATGGCAGGGCGCATGAGAATCCAAATGGATGCAAATGCTTGCTTTATCTTGCTTTGTCTTATATAACTCTTTCCCGCAGCAGCCCCAAAATTCACAGGCAACCAAATTCACAGCAGCAGTTGCAAAAGACCATGAGCACAGTTTCAAAAACCTTGTTGGCAAGCATTGTTCTGCACCAAAGACAGCGCATGAACAGCATCCAACGTAGATGTTCATGGGACACAAAACACCTCATTGACAAAAGAAACAAACATGGTACAGAAGTTTGCCTTGCCCGATTAAAAGCCATGTGTCTTGCTTTTTGCTCAACAACTGTTGCAAGTTCCGCTGAACGATGTTTTCTTGCCCAGGCTTTTCAGCTCCAAAGAAATCAACAAACCCATCGATCTCAGAACGCCCGTCCCAGATCATCGAATCGCATCCCATCCTCCTCGTCCTGTTCCTGACCGGGATAGATTGAAAATCAAAATCGCGAGGTCCCGGCATGTGCTCTGGCCATCAGTTTCGTTCGGGCGAGCTGGTGGAAGCTGGGAGTCCGTGTGGGGCGCATGGTGGCTTATTGTAGTAACAAGAAGCTACTAGTAACAAGGGCATCGCTGCTAGTAACAAGGGCATTACTACCAGTAGCAAGAAGATACTAGTAGCGATGCTGGCTTGCAGGTGTGTTTCACACTCAGAGACAACATACCCTTCCTTCACTGGACAATTTGGCTGGTCGGCCGTTTCCGAAGCCTTTCAGAGAAGCCGGCTGGAGAGGGGCTAACTGTGTGTGTGTGAATGTTTTTGCAAAAAGATCTGAGGATACGCCCATCTTTTGGGGTCGACAGTGCCTGAGCCTGAGCCACTTCACCTTCAAACAGTTCACCGTTCACATCTCATCCATTGACATCAAGGGGGGGTGTAGAGGACGCTACTAGGAACAAAGGGCCATCGCTACTAGGGGCTTGTGGCCTTACTACTAGGAACAAGGACGCTACTAGGGGCCCATCGCAATCAAAGTCCACTCTAGCCAGGTGTGCAGAAAATATTCCTGGAGTGTTTCTTCAAATAGAAACTGCACTAAAAAGAACCTGACCGGGACATTCACCTGGAAACTCGTTTGCGTACGAACAGAAGATGTTCATTATGGTCGAACGTCGAACGACTGTCTAGGATTTGAGAACGAACGCGCGCCACCGCGCACTAGACTGTCCCTACTTATATATAGGTTTGGGACATTTTGGGGACGATGTTTGAGCCGTCGAAATCGGCTTCAGCTCTTTGGAATCCCCATTTATATGACGTTTCTCTTATAAGGCAAAGAGAAAGAGAGAGAGAGAGAGAGCAGAAAGGCAAGAGAAGCTCTTAGGTTGGAGGCCATTACAATTAGGTTGGAGGCCATCGCTATTAGGTTGGAGGCCATTGCTATTAGTTGGTGTACATGCCCTGGATTTATTCTCTGCGCAGTGTGACATGTGACGCAAAACGTCGCATGACTGCTGTGCCCTCTTAAGCAAGAAACGTCACTCTTCCTCGAAATCATCAGACATCTTCAGGTGGCTTGGGAGTTACTTCAACGAATCAGGCGGCCACAAAATCAGTGGCCTGGGTCTTTCCACTTTCAGTCGAGGCAGACATTTTGCCTCCCAGTCCCAACATGTCCAACATCATCATCCTGAATCACTCCTTCCAGCTTCTCCATTCCCCCTTTCATCTGGGCTCTCGAGCAGGTGATTCCTCCACTTTCTCCCCCTCCACCATGACGTCAATCGTCCGAGGGGAAGCCCTGATGCGTGGGAGCATCGTGCAATTCACCCATGCTGGGAACACCAAACACTTCGGTGGAAAACATGAAGACTGAACCAGCCCTGGACGGTTGCTGGTTAACGCAGTGCTGTAGGTTGGGACGAACGCAGCTGCGACCGTCCAGAAAGACTCAAAAGTTGCTACTTGTTGCTATAGTAGCTTGTTGCTCCTAGTAGCGATGGCCTCCACCCTAGTAGCTTCTTGCTCCTAGTAGCAATGGCCTCCACCCTAGTAGCGATGGCCTCCACCAACTAGCTTCTTGCTCCTAGTAGCGATGGCCTCCACCTACTAGCGTTTTGCTCCTAGTAGCGATGGCGTCCACTTAGTAGCTTCTTGCTCTTAGTAGCGATGGCCTCCAC